ATACCACTTTTATGGGGATTTTGGTCGCATCTGGCTATTTATATTATTGATTAGGCCTAAGCCTACATTCAGTGGAATGAGATAGTATACTATATAGGGACTTGAGAATAATTGAGATCTAAGTCACCACCAGGGAGGTTACAAAAATAGATTCTAAGGTCCTTGGTCACCGTAGGCCTATGTTACTATGTAAATATCTGTTGAAATTATGTACGTAGGTAGATCTATCGTCTTCTTCACTGGAACTAAAAAGCTGAAGGCGAAACAGAAAACAAAATTTTGTTTCGTAGGATTGAGGATATTGACAACCCAAAAACTTTGAATAACCATCCAATCCATCCATAGTTCAGTCACAGAAATAAACATGGACTCCAAAGTAGCAAGGAAGACCTGGGAACTAACTAACAATGTTGAAAGTGTTTCTAGTGTTGATGAGATCTATCGCTATGACTCGAAACAACAGCAAGATATCTTAACAGCCAAACCGTGGGAAAAGGAGTAAGTTTAGTTTTGAGGTTCAGACCTTATTCGAAGAGAGTGAGAGGAGAGTGTCGAGTGAAGAGATCACAGTAACTGAGAAAGGTAGAGACAGAGTCTCATTTAGAGAGTGAGTAGTGAGTAGGCATTTCTTCTGGGAAAAGTGGCAAGACTCAAGACTGCAATTTTAGCCTTTAGCTTGTTCATTTTCGGGCTCTCTTCGGGAGAAATGGTCCCACCTAACTCCATAGGCATTTACAGTAGATCTCGCCTTCATCATGTAGCCTACACGGGAGGAATTCAGTAGCCGTAGCCGTAATGAGTGTATGAATGAGCGACCAAAATGAACCAGAGTAGAATTGAATAGAGGGTTAGTGTTTGGGGAAGCGAAGCGGCTAGACTCCGTACTTAGATCTAGGTTTGGCCCTATCGACTCAAGCCTGTTAAGTACACATGTCTCATTAGATCTAGATCTAGATCTCTAAGTAATTATTCAGGTTCAACAAGTACATGCAAGTCAGTAAGGCACCTTTTTGTTTTGTCTGAAATAATGTCCGGAAAAAACGCTAGCTTGTCCATGACATTCATGTTGTGACCACACAGAATCTATGTGTTGTTTGTTATACGGGGTGCCCATTACGGTTGGGATCGGCGGGTCGGGTCATCTCGCCGGCTCAAAAACAAAACACGTTTGTTTTCTTTTAGGCACGTGTTGTCGAGAGTTTCTGATGCATCGCGCCGAGGTTTCTCCCACTGAGGACGTTAAGACTAAGTAAGACAGCTCTTAAACATAATGTCTTCCTGGTGTAAGTCTTGAACTTAATATTCGGCGCCGTACGCAGGTGGAAGTAACAAATCCCCCATCCCCTACCATGACTTGAGCTGCTACTTTTGCAGAAAGGAAATGATTCCAGTGGGGTCGGTCCGACTCGCCGACGCGTTTGCTGTCAGGCGACCGAGTCGGGCCCCCGACTCGCAGTAATGAGCACCCCATCATGACAGCAAAATGTAACCGTCTTGAGAAGGGCTATGTTACTCGATCGCGGTTGCACTCTTCTTTGTCTATCTCCGACATTTTGAGTGTGTCAGTCCAATCTTTGATAGCCCCCCCCCCCCCCACAAAAAAAAAGCCTAGAACGCATGAGGTACGGCAATTTAACCGTCATTGCTGCTTCTCTTAATATACAATGGAATCCTGTTATAACGAGAGGGGGTGGGGCTGGTGCGAAATGTCCGTCATAGCAGGATTCTCGTTTTAAGGGATCCAGTTATAAATTCAAAGGAGTAATAAAGTAGGCCTAATCTATGAGTTTAGTGTTCTGTTGATTTCTTGTTCTAGAGGTTAAGGTGTTGGCCTCTCATTCAAATACCATATTTGATCAAAAATCGAATCAGGTTTCTTTCTCTAGAGCTAGCGACGTCGAGAGCTCGGCATTGACGATAAAAAAGAAAGGGCTCTGCACGTCACACATTCGCTTCATCCATCACATCATAATCTGTGGCCTCTCTATCCCCGCATCGGAGAAGTGAGAGGCATGGTAGGCCTAGAAAATCTAGACAAGGCTAGTCTATCAGGCGTTCTGCTTGTCTACGCATGCCACACCCTCCCCACTCATTCGCTCCGGCCTTCATTGTTGACACACGTGGGCTCTCCCATTCTTTGTTTCGCTAGATCACCAACAAGTATCTCAACTGGAGAGGTTTTACATAATACATGTACGTGTTGTATGATTGGCCAATGCGCTGTGCACTGCAGCAGCAGCAATATTCCGCTATAACCGACTCGTGTGTTTGTCTGATTGCGTATAAATAGCAGTATTTTATTTACAAAGATAAAGAAGAGAAAAAAACGGGGTTTTAGAATAGTGTCTTTATAACAGACTTCTCGTTATTTCAGAACTCGTTATAAGTGGACTCGCACTGTATTTCCGCCTTAAACTTGGCCGAGGCAAAATTTGTAGTCATATCTGTAACGTTTAGACACTGTAATACAAGAAAATTAGATGTTTAAAAAGAACCACATGCATCTGGGCATCTTCCAGGTAAATAGTAATTATTTATTATTTTTTCATCAGTAATATTTATAACGACGGTTCAGTTCCAGAAACTCGTATGCCACCTGAAATCGATTTGGGG